ATTCACCAATTCTGATGATTGTTTGTAAGGCTGAAGTTGGATAATGCAGTTATTAGGGAGATGGGAACTTGAGCTTGAGCTTGAGCTTCTATTTTCCTTAGCACTTTTTTAAGTTTCAGCTTCTCATTTAACGTTAGAAAACAAGGCCAAAAAGAAACAAAACAGTACTGGAAATGACATGTTCTCTTGCTTCACCACAACCTTGCAAATTTTAAGTTCCGTATTCTGAATTCCTCTCTTCCTAGGCCTCATTATCTATGATTTGATGGAGATGCAGACATGATCATGATAAAATTCCTTCAGTCTCTGCCATGGTGGATCTTGATCAGGCGGAAACTGCACCCACCAGTCTTAACATGTCCTCTAAAAAGAAGGAGCTTCTGTCCACAGCCATGAAGAGAACCAGCGAGTGGTATGATTAGAACCTTTGTTTTATAAGCAGGGATTCATTTTTGAAACTGACTGCATAAATTGCTTTTCAGATAGGGAAAAGAAAATAAAACGAGAAAGATAGGGACACTGAAGTTGATAACTTGATTCTTTTTCCAGGATTTTCTCTCAGGAGATTCCCAGTGATGTCACTGTTCAAGTTGGGGGAGCTTCTTTTTCGCTGCACAAGGTAGAATTCAAGTGCTTCAAATTCCTATGTTCCTTGTGAAACGTATCATTCCATTGCTATTCAAGAGAATAACTAACAGCCATAACATGTGGTATATTTAAATAACACTTAAAGCCATTCAATATGTCTGGGGAAACGTAGGGGCTCAACTGAATCTACCATGTATCCACAAAACAAACCAACGTAGAGAAGCAGCAGGAATTTAGCATCTAGTTCTAGTATTGTTAATGACAGAGTTGTGTAATTTTGAAACTTATTTCCTTCTCCAATTGCAGTTTCCATTAGTCTCTAGGTGTGGATTCATAAGGAAAGTGGTATCAGAATCCAATGATGCTGACGTTTCAGTCATAGAAATTCCTGATGTTCCGGGTGGAGCAGATTCATTTGAACTTGCAGCTAAATTCTGTTATGGGATAAATTTTGAGATAAGCACTGAAAATATTGCCATGCTACGATGTGCGGCAGAGTATCTTGAGATGACTGAGGACTATGCGGTTGGAAACCTTGTGGGAAGAACTGAAGCCTACTTGAATGAAGTGGCACTTAAGAGTCTGGCAGGAGCAGTTTCTGTGTTACATACGTCAGAAAACCTACTCCCCCTTGCAGAGAAAGTTAAATTGGTGAGCCGGTGCATAGATGCGATAGCATATTTAGCTTGCAAAGAGAGCCAGTTTTGTATGTCTGGTAGGTCCGAGAGTGGCAATGATAGTGCAATTTCTTCAACAATTTCTAGCTCGAAACCTATTGTTGACTGGTGGGCTGAAGATTTAGCTGTTCTTAGAATTGACATCTTCCAAAGGGTTCTGGTTGCAATGATAGCAAGAGGGTTTAAACAATATGCTCTTGGTCCTGTGCTTATGCTTTATGCACAGAAAGCTCTTAGAGGTTTGGTGAGACCCCATACCAACATAATTGACTTGTTTACCTGATATGGTTAATGTCTAAACTGCGGACTCCTTTTTCATGCAGGAAATATTTGGAAAGGGGAGGAAGAAAATTGAGCCACGACATGAACATGAGAAGAGGGTTGTCTTAGAAACCATTGTGAGTCTTCTGCCAAGGGAGAAAAATACTATGTCTATAAGCTTTCTATCTGTGCTGCTTCGTGCAGCAATATACCTCGAAACAACTGTTGCTTGTCGACTTGATTTAGAGAAAAGGATGGCCTTGCAATTAGGACAGGCTGTTTTGGATGATCTCTTGATTCCCTCCTATTCTTTTACGGGGGATACTTTGTTTGATGTGGACACGGTACAGCGGATCATGATGAATTACCTAGAATATGAAACTCAAGGGACCCATTTTGGCTACAAAGAAGAAGATGAGTATATTTCTCCTCCACCAAGTGATATGGAAAGGGTGGGAAAGCTAATGGAGAGCTATCTAGCTGAGATAGCCTCTGACCGCAATCTGTCTGTCTCAAAATTCATTGGTCTCGCTGAACTCATTCCAGAACAATCGAGGGTAACAGAGGATGGGATGTATAGAGCCATAGATATCTACCTCAAGGTACATTCTCTTCTATATAGTAATTATCCTCATCTTAAAAATCTGCTGCAACTTCGTACTCATTCATAATTATGATTAGTTAGTTATTATGTATGCTAAGCTTGTATAAATACATATAAGAATACCATTTTCCACTAATATTCATACTTTATATATGGCATGTATTTGTAATTTTTCAAATTATCACCAGTTTCTGAAAAGCATGCTCCGTATATTTTAAAGCAAGTTCTTTGCATATTCCAAGTTGCCTTAGCGCAACCCTGTAACACCTAAATTATATTAGCTATTTCAAGACTTTGAACACATCGGGTAATAATGATTTTGTAGCATTCTCATACAAGATATATTACTAGCAAGGTTCTAAAATTTCCAATATGATTGACAATGTTAAAGAACTTTTTGATCCACAAGTGAAACTGCTTTGTTACTGTTGGAAGTATCAACAGCACTCTTTAGCTTCCCTTGCTTTTCCCTTCTTTACATGGATGAATGGTTCTCTACTATCTTTTTCTTGCTAAATGGTTCTCTTGGATTGCTTTATGGAATGCTTTCTTTTTTTGTCACCTTTTGATACTAATTGACAGGCTCACCCCACTATATCTGACTTGGAGAGGAAGAAAGTTTGCAGCTCGATGGATTGCCAGAAACTCTCTCGGGAGGCCTGTGCTCATGCTGCTCAGAACGACCGTCTTCCTGTCCAGACCGTGGTTCAAGTACTTTACTATGAGCAACAACGCCTTCGAGATGTCATGAACGGAAGCATCTCAAGTGGAGATTCCCCTGCCATTTCTTCCAGAGTGAATTTATACACTGCAGATATCCACCCCGTTTCAGATGAACTTTCCAGCTTAAAAAGAGAGAATGAGGACCTGAAACTAGAGCTGGTAAAAATGAAAATGAGATTGAAAGAAATAGAAAAATCATCATCAGTTAAATCAGCAGTAAGCAGTCCTATGGGAATTATTCTGCCATCATCTGATAAGCCGCCTTTGCCAAGAAAATCATTCATGAATTCAGTTTCTAAGAAACTTGGACGGCTTTATCCTTTTGTGCGCGCTGATGGAGTTTCACCTTCCAGTGCCAAAGGTCCAACAAGACCCAGCAAAAATAGGAGGCACTCCATATCTTGACACATTGGTTTTGTCTCTATCAGTACTTGGTGTCTTTGTTGCTTTAAGGCTTGAGAAAACTTGTAGCTGTCCTTTGTTCTTTTTCTTCCTTCTTGGGGGTGCGTCATTTCTTGGACCCCTTCTATATCTGCTCCTTTTGTGTGGTGTTCCTGTAAATAATGTCATCTTTATGTTTGATAAACACATTATTCGAAGGATGGTGATAGGACGTGGTATAATCATGGAGGTTTTTTGCCGCTTGAAAGGCTACTTTTCTGTAGCTGGGATGAACGCATAGCATAGTCAAAGCAGTTGCCTCTTCTCTCCCAAGGAGATCCTGACTTCAAATTTTCCCTTCTCCCAAATTTCTTTTCTGTTTTGAAAATAGATAAGCGAAAAATGACGTCTCTCTGTGGCTGTAGCTTAATTAAGCTTTGAAGGACAAAAGCACAAAAAGCTTTCAGCTGTTTGAAATATAATTCAGTGTTGGGATTCAGAAATAATTATATTATCCATCTGGATATCAAGAAGAACAGAAAGAGAGGATTTAAACATACAAGTAATTATGGAAATTTAATTTTATGAATTCAGTCTTTCCTAGTCCTAATCCATAGGAGACAACTCAAAGAAAAATGCATGTGGCAATATTATTTCTACTTATACTCCTTAAGACTCATACTGCCTAAGAGGTTTAAAATAAACAGCATGTTGTATCTGACAAGTCTCCTGGAGAAAAGAAAAGAAGAGAAAACCGTTTGCCTCTTTGAGGACATTTGAACTCAAACAAATCGCCATCTTAAATTTATCGAAATTCTAAGACAGACCATTTGTACTGGTATTACAGAGTGTGGGGTCTGTATCTAAATTATTGACACCTTTGGGATAAAGAACTTTGGAAAAGCAATTGTAGCTTAAGGGACAGGCTAGCAGTTGTACATGTTGTCCGAGGCAAAACATCAGTGACATTAAAAGATGGTTCTCAAATATTCAAGATTTCATGGTTTTCGGACTTTCTCCAGCTAGGCATAATTGTTCATACATGACAGGCCTGATTCTTGTAGAGTAGTTTCAGTTGCCCCAGATACCAGACGAAAAAAAGAAAAGAAAATGAGCTAATAGAATTTTAGGTGCTGTGTGGAATATAATAAGTATTGGATAGAACTCAACAAAGAACAATTCTTTCACTGATCTTGAAGGTAAATAATTTGCTTCATATGCTGATTTCTGGAATCTGGTTTGATGCATGATGGGAATTAGGCAAATATGCTTCCAGGGAAATCATGTATGGAGCTCTGTTTCCTAGAGCACAACAACCCCATATGACATCGGCCTGCTTCTTTTTTTCTTTCTTTCTTTTTGGGATTCACTTGGTCTCCTGAGGACCTGTTTTGTTGTATCTTTTCTCTTTTGTTCAAAAACAATGCAGAACTAATGCTGTTATACCATCTGCTAACACTCAATCTGAACATATGAACAGATTAAATGTTTACAAAGAAAAAAAAATAGCAGTAAGATGCCAGAAATCTCTTTCTGGGACCAAACTAGCACTTTTAAATGTTGCATCATTCAACCTAAGTCCCCTTTGACAAACTTTTACAGATGTGAATAGTCTTGTTAAACCATAAAAAGTCTTGTGGATTTTAAACTAAAACAATGGTTTTATAGCAAGGTTCATCAAATAAAAAAGAACAATAAAGTTGTGTTTGTACTTAAAAGTCTTCTAAAGTCGGACTTGAAAGTATTGACTGATTGAAAAGCTGAGCTCAACAAAAGATCAAGTCAATATGTATAGTAGTTGGTTTTGCAAGTCAGGGAATCAAGTGATCTTTACAAAAGACTCCACCACCCACTTTGCTAAGAAAAAAAACTAAGCAGAAACTTCCACACAAACATCAATCACAGAAAATTAGTCGATAAGAAGCAGTCTAAAATCTAATCATATCGACTTGCAAGATATTTTCTTTTTTTTCAAGTCATATTCATACTTAAAACTTGGAAAAGCCAAGGAGGCTGTTTTAGCCTTTCCTGTCTCAATTGTTCTTCAAGATCAATATTGTTTTTACTTCCACTTGGGTACCCCAATGTCATGTCAGTGACCTGGAAGAGTCCGAGCTGATCACGGCCACTTAATTCTTCTGTTGTTGTACTTGTCTTCCGTTTGGTCATGGAACTTGTCCTGTTCATATGACTGGATTCGGTGGAAGAAGAAGAGAAGCTTGGTCCAGAATCCGAAGTTGGAGGAGTCCCATGTTTCTTCCTCGGCAAGTACCTTGTGGGCCCTAACGTCAGCTCTATCTCGCTCTCATCTATGACCTCTAACATTCTGTTACCGTGATCTGCTTCTGCAATATTGTATTCTTCAGCCGGGCGTTCCAAGTCAAGCCTCATTCTTGAATTCTGATGCATATTTCCATTGTGATCTTTCTGTAAGAAGCCTCCGTTGTGCCTGCCGTTCTCAATGCTCTTCATCAATGTCTTTTGGATTCGATATAGACGATGGAGCTCGTAGACCTGAAATATTGCTTCAGGTTTAGAACAACAAATACTGTATGACAGATGAAGATAAAGTAAATAAATATAGCAGAAAAAAGGTAAGAGATAAGGGCATACACCTGCTCTTTGAATGTTTCTTCATGTTTTAACATTGCCATCCTCATACACTCCTTATCATACGGCCTAAGAAGCTTCTCCATCGGACTTCAATCAATGTTGCCCGTGCAATGTGCAAAATTGGTTATATCCCAAGATATCCAAGGATAAATAGAGTTGAAATTGGCAATCCCTTACTCTCCAAGAAATTTGCTCAAAAAGCAGATCACATATCTACTCTGATGCCCAATCACCTTTCGCTACTCCACCTGTTAAATGAGGGAAAAATTGCAAAAGGATTAAAAAGCTGAGAAACCTTTGATTGGTGATGGATTGTTTGCATTCACAATTGAAAGGCATGAAGGCATTAATGTTTCCAACACTAGCATGAAAGTATAATAACATCAACTACTTTTAGTATAATTTGTCTGCTTGTTCACATGTTTTTGGGCCACAATGATAATCTTCCATACAAAATATCTTCCATTATGCAGCCTTGTCTATGGTGCATACAGCATATATATCACATGTGGCTTCAATGCTCTTTCCCTCATGTTCCACCCCCCCGACTTATCTTTTTTTCCCTCTTGGTATTATTCTTAATTATCTCAGTACTTCTTTTCTGGTTAATAAATACTTCTTAATTATCTAATCCTACATTACCTTTTTATAACCACATTTTCCTCCATCTAAATGGATCTTCTGGTTAACTTAACACTGACATACCATTTGATTCCAGTGATGAATTCTATATTACCTTTTTAAATTTATTCAAGCCAAACATTCATGATTCCATTGATGAATTCTAGCTTCCTGATTTCTCTCTCTCTCTCTCTCTCTCTCTCTCTCTCTCTCTCTCTCTCTCTATATATATATATATATATATATATTTGTTAAATGAAATTAAATACATTCTATATATATGAAATTTAGTTAAAGCATCCAAATTAAGATCAGAAGTTTTGAATATGCAGATACTAAGACTGGAGAAGAGAAGAGGAGTTCAGAAAATCCGTTCTTTAAGAAGAAAACATCATGCAAATATGAAAGCCGCAGGTGATTCTGCATAGTAAGATGACGGTTATCATGTTGAAGGGAAATTCTTAAAGAATCCTTTTGAGATGAATGAACCTGTGAGATTCCAAATGCATCGACGATAATTGAACATCTAAAGAAGTCCCTACCATATCAAAGTTAATGTTCTGAATCTTCTCTTTTATTCTCTTCTTGCAATGAATTCATGCATGAGAAAAGAAAAAAGGGTGGTAAGAAATTGAAGAGAGCATATATTCTGACCTGTTAGAGACTGATCAAGAGCAAGAAGATCTCAGCCTTTTGTAGCAAACTAGTTGCAGAAGAAAAGAAGCAAAAGAAAAGGGAACTGTGGCTTGCAAGGAAAGGGGAGAAAGGCGAAAAGCTAGCGAGTAACTCTCCTCTCGAACCTCAACTAGAGCCACAGCCTGGTTTCACAGAGAACGAAGACGACCTTGCCCTCGCATTCCCCATCAGTATATACTGCAGAGAAGTTTAAATAAAAAATATAAAAAAACAGAGGGAAGAATTTAAGATTCTCTCTTTCACACAGAAACCAAAGTGGTTGCTGCATCTGGGGCTTGAGGCATGCCAAACAAATCCCAGTCCCTTAGCCAATGCCATTTAAGTTTTGTGAAAGAGATGCCTCAGACAGGTCCAGCAACGCATTTATATAATATTAGATATAATAATACTCAAAACATATATATGCATAGATATATACTATAATTCTGGATATCGACATTTCTATAATGGTTTGAGGATCACAAGGCCCTAGCAGTTGTCCAGACAATCATCAAAATAAACAGCTTAGCTTGCTAAGTAGAATCACATGCACCCAAGAATTCTATATCCCTAGCAACAGTTGTCTCTCAATTATTATACTTAACAAATTTCTTTTACATATTTTGTGCTAGGAGAAACTGATATGAAGGAGCTTAAGGTGGCATCTCCTGGCCCGCCGACAATTAGATCCCCACCGTACGATAAGTGAGTACCCGCTTAAAAAACCCATCTCAAAAGTTAAAGACTGGCCACACGATCTCGAATCCAACAGTGCAGAAACTTAAAGATCTTGATTCTTAAATTATATATATATATATATGTATCAGATATATCCCAAATAGAAAAATAGGCAAGCCAAATCTTGAAGACTTTGAAACTTATTACATTTTATATTATTGTTACAAGAATTGGTGAGGCAGAGACATGAAAGATCATGGATTTTATCTGTGCAATTGTGGTATAAGTATAAATAAAGATGGGATCATTGGATCTGAGTTGTTGGATTCTATTTCACCCCACACCAAAGAAAGACCCAACACAATGATTATAGCCGTTAATTGGCCATGTGAGGAGGGTTGTTGGGAAATCAATCAACCATCGGACGGTCCAGATAACTGGACCCCATTCTCAAGAGGAGAAAAAAAAAGAAATGGTACACATTAAATGTACTTGTATAAATCTTTTTATAATAATTTTTCTGGCATATGGTTATGGATAGATCTTTCATCTCTCTTCTATATGGGGCAAAAGAAATGAGTTCATAGAACTTGGAAAAAGCTAAATATATTAAATATATTTGTCACTGTTATGTTATAGCTGTACATAGTACAGACTGGAAGAGGATCATCCAGGACCATATAAATGAAGATAAATGGATTTGGTTCCCAGCAACAATCAGAACAGTAGCTTTTTTCCAATTTTTTTTTTTTTAAAAAAAAACCCTTCAAATGTAACTAAAAATGAAATCCATGTCCCCCCGTTCTTATCACGAGGGAAAAAAATATTGATCACATCATCACATGCATGCTGGCCTCATTTTATAAAAGCTCTCTCTCTCTCTGACTCAGTTTTGGAATATGATAATGAATTATGCATTATACAAGAAAGTTCGTTTAGGAAAAAGAAAAATAAAAAATAAAAACTTTTGGAGAGAGAAAGGTTGAGAGAGTGACATGGTAGCACGCGTTGCCGGTGAAGGGAGGTGCAACCGTATGGGGCGGTGGGTCCATTGGGGTTGCTGAAAAGGCTGAACCAAGGCGGGAGAGGGCCTGTGTTGCCATTTGGTCCCACCTCGAAAAGGAAATTTTACAACAAAAAAATAATAAAAATAATCACTGCTACAGTCCTACTACATTAAAGAAGAGAAAGAAAAGGCAAAGAAAAACAAAAGAATTGTCAAAATTTTCAGTTTATCACAGTCTCAGTACTACAGAATTTAGTCAGGGAGAGATTGGGTACAGGCTACATGCAACTACAGGCATTTTCTTTTCATTTTTTAGTTGTTCCCCACACCACCAAAGGCCACTTTGTGTTACACGATTTCAAAACATGACTCACTTAGGAATCTGATTGCTGCCATTTCTGTTCCTGCATGTCCTCCCTGGATCTTTGAGCTTAGCTTAAGTCTATGAGTTATGACACATCAAAAGCTGAGTCACCATGCTAAAATCTGTTTCACGAAAACGTGTCATCTGTCGTTAATCAGGAAAGATCTACATATATATATATATATAGAGAGAGAGAGAGAGATAAAATTGGGGTTTTATTGCGTTTACGACTTTTTGCATCAGAAAAAAAAAGGGAATTAAACAGAAAAAGAGGAATCATCATTGATTCAAAGAATAGAAACATTTTGCAAACAAAAAGTGTTGATATTCTTGGATTCAATCAGTTATCTAACATACATAAGCGTTTTTGTTTTCTTTTATCCTGACATTCTATTTGATTTGATGACAGTGAAATTAAGGGGAAAGCCAAAGTCATAAAACGTGAGAAACGGGAGTGTGTCCGATGACCCCATCCTGTCGGATACATCCATCTCTAAACCAATAAGCCGCCTTGTGCCAAAGAAAATATCATCGCCACTGGCTTTCCCACTGCTCCCATTTTCTAATTAAGGATATCTCCGTAAATTACAAATTTTCATATATCCGGATTAAACTTGTGTGTACCTTTGGTAAATATTGATTTGTTGGAAAAGTTATTTTATTATTAGGCCGAAAGTGACTTAATTATAGGGACTATTGAGGTATCTAATCATGGTTTTAAAATATTAAGAAGAGAAAGAGAAGTATTCTTCCTTAATAATAACTCCTTGGATCATGAGTTTGCAAAAATCTGTAATTTAACATTCCAATAAGAGACGTGACTATGTCATGACCCTTTTCTTTGTATTAAAAAAACAATGGATCGTCAGCCATTGAGAAGATCAAGAGTCACGATCATCTCTCTTTGTGAAACATGAATTATTGGGTTTGGCTTTCATAATCACGAGTAAGTAGGAAGATTAAAACTAAGTATTAATCAATCAGAATTATTAGCATTAAATTAATAACAAAGTTAATGATGAATGATGGTGGAATCTGAGAATCTAACCATTATTTAATGGTATATGCAAACAATTTATTTATTTATTTGCTTGCCCCCTCTGTTGGAGAAAAAGAATATGCAAATGTAAGTCAGTGGAACAACACGCCATGCTTCACTTTTTAAATTTTCCATTAACAGCAACTTGCCCTTGGGGGATGTCGGGGGACTACTCTACACAAATTCAGAGAGCAACATAAACTTTGCTGTTAAAGTAGTACGAGTTTTCAGTTTGAAAATTTTGAGTTTAAAATCTTAATATGAACAGTAAAATTTATAAGACGAGATTATTATTTCTACATATGCACAATTCGAGATTTTATTATAACAAAAGATTTTAAAGAAATTAAGAGAGTTTTTGTGAGTTGTCATGAACAGTAAATGAGCTAAGATATGTCACCCATAATCGAGATAATAGATTTATAGATCGAATCATGTGCATTTGAAGTAGTGTTGTCTTGAAACTTGGAGAGATATATACCTAACTTCCTCCACTACTGCAGGAGCTATATTCATGATGTAATGTTTGGTTGATGAAGTTGATCTAATTATTTCATTTCTCTATGCATGCATACTAGATTCTCGTATTTTATTTATTTAGCTGTTCATTTTTTTTTCATTGTCTAGACTATTGTTCTGAAACTAGTAATTAATACCTATTTTCCAAACTAATAATTAGGTTTTGTGCAGCTCGAGATACATATTTATAAATATTCGGTTTAATAATAAATGAAAACATATATATCTTACGTAAAAAAATTGTTTCAAATTTCTTTTTTGAATAATAATAAAGAAAAAGACAGCTAATTTTTATCTCTTTTTTTTGTAAATATAATTAAATCATCGACCTTATATATGTTTAGTAAACGGTAGCCAGCGGTGAATTAACGTTTGGATTAATACGTGAAATTGAAACAAATTAAAGGCGTAAAGTTGAGCCGTTTAAGTTTATAAAGGGTCTTTGTCTGAATTACCACCAAGGCAAAACTCTGATTAATTGGGTTTATTACATGAATCTGTTTTAATTACAAACCATGCATGTGTCAATCTTTTCCAACAAGTTTGTCTCATGACCAGTTTCTTTTCTTTAAAAGGTGTTACGCCATATAATTTGATGCACTTCAACCAATTGAGTGGGAAATAATATTTTTTTTATTATTTTAAAATTAGGTTAAATAAGAAAGTTAAGCTCTATATCACACTGTTTGGGAGGCATAAGATACATGAATTCTCTATTATTTCAACCACAAAATGATAATAATATATTAAATAAAAGGCAATGATCATCACCAAGCTATACTATATTTTTGCAAAACATTGAATGGCATGGACTTGATTTTTGTCCACCAAACACACTTGAGACAAGCTTTAATTAACTTCATAATAAGTCACACCCATTAGTGGTTTCAAAAGATGAATCCAATTTTGCTACAAAAGACAAATTCAAATAAAGAAAATTTGCTGCATGAACCAAAGAGTTCCATTGAATCATGGAAAATGAATGAAAAGGTGGTCTTAGTGGTCAAAGGAAGAATCCTTGCAGGATTCATTAATTACATTAAAAGAAAAAAACACTTTGGCATAGGCAGCAAAGAAAAAAGAGCAAAGCAAAACCAATTGGCAAGTGCTTGAATAAATTACTAGATAAAAAGGGGAAACCCCTTCTTCTTTCACCTCCAACACTCTCACTTTTTACCAAAAATTCAACACAGCATCTTCACCTAACAAGCAAGATACATACACTTGAAAGCACCCTTATCTGGTCCACAGTTGGGAAAGGAAAAAAATCTTAAAATTATTGCTCAAATGAAGAAAAAATAATAATTATTGTGCAAGAAAACAATAACAATAATAATGCAATAAAAGAAAAGGCATGCAGAGTCCCTTGCATCACACAAAACGAATCGTACAAATGGCTTGTTATGTAGTAGCTTAGCCTGAGGACAATGTGGACTGAAATTTCTTATCAACTTTATTACTATTATTATTACTATTTTGTTGTTGTTGTTTTAAGGAGGAATGGATGGGGCAGAAATTATCAATTTGGATATTTTGTCTCCATTCCCTACTTTCTGTCATGTTCAGCTTAGCCACACATTTCTTCTTGTTTAAAGTCATATACGGTCGGGTCTGTTTGTGTCTGCAATTCAACATTTTGCATTGTTTTTTAGATTCGATTGTAGGACCCCCTTTTTATGGCCCAAATATATATATACATTGAGGTCACAATCATGTAACAGGGAGCAGAGGAAAATTAGAAGTAAAGGGAATCGAAGGAAGGAATTGGCATGCTTTATTGTTTCTGTATATTTGTATAATGTATGATATGTAACTCTGGGTTTACTGGGCGTGGGTGGGTTTTGATCTCAAATTTGAGCCCAGCTTCCCATCTTTTCCGGGCCGAATTGGTAACCCAACCCAAACTACTACAAATAGGTGGGCCGTGCAAGTCTACAAGTCTAGGGGTACTAACACACTATCCTTTCTTATGGTTTTGGCCTTTCCGGGGAAATGGTTGGCGG